GTGACCCTGGGAACCTGGAGGCTCCCTGCAAGCGCCTTTCCCTCCAGGAAGATTGGTGAAGTTTCTGCTTCTCCGGGACTGGGCTTTCCTGTCCTGGAGGCTTTCGCTGCCTGGCCTTAGCCCAGCTCCTTGAAGGGGCCCCTCCCCCACTTGATTATTTATTTATTTATTTATTTATTTATTTATTTATTTATTCCCCCCCCCCCCCATCTTCCTCCTGTGTTAAAAGCGCAAACTTTTCTCTCTGTAGCGTTCCAGCTGTTCTCTCTTTAAATCTCAGGCCAAATTCATAGGTTTTCAGCATGATTTGCAAGTTATCTAGGTAATTTGGTGGGGACCGGTGACTTGGGGAACCTACTCCTCTGTCATCTTGCCCCGCCCACTGCCCTTTCTCTTATTAATGTGGTGCATAACATTGATTTGTAATACCGTACCACCTTTGCAAACAAGGAATAAACTCTTTGGTCATAGTGAATGATCTTTTTATTGTGTTGTAGGTTTTGGTTTGCTAGTATTTTATTTATTTATTGAGAATGAACCATATTCATTAGGGATTTTGGTATGTAGTTTGTTTTTTGTTTGTTTTGTTTTTTTATTAATTAGTTGGAAATTTTTTATGTTTAAATTCATAAAACCTAGTTGTCACTTGCTATTTATGTAATGAAAGGCACTTATAGAGATTGAGTCTGTTTCAATTGCCTTTTATTTCTGCTTATAGTCAAGAGAGTTAAATGAGAATGTCATCAGCATAGTCTTTAATAAATTTAGAAAATGTTTTGGTTTTAGATCTCCAAAATATTTTAAGAGATTACCAAGTGTGGTATATCTGTCAACAACTTGAACAAAATGATATGGCAGTTTTGTTAATTTGAAATAAAGTTTACTCTTTCTGTTTTATTATGGTACAATAATTTTAGAAAATATATAGTTTGGGATTTTCATCAAGTTGTTGCATAGTATAAAATTGTTAATAAATTGTTACATTAAGCATGTGTATCTGGGACCATTTTTAGTAAGTTTTCGTTCTATAGAGGTTTTATTTAAAACTGTTTAAAAAATTATTGCAAATATAATATGGTTCCCTTATATCCTACACTGAGTTTTCTCTATTATTAACATCTTCTATTAGAATAATATTTTGAAATTTAATTTAAAATTAACTTTGATCATCTTCGCTGACATAGTGTTTGTAGGTTTTTCCACAGTAAAGTTCATCTTTTTTTTCTCCAGTTCCATACTGTGCTCCTTAGAAAAGAGGTAGTATGTATAGTCCACACTTAAGGAATGAGGAGTAATGCTCCACCTCTTTCAGGGATGAGTATCTACATAAAGTATTTGGACATCTGCACTAGACATTTGTCTCTTCTCTTGCATTTTTAAATTTATTCAACTATTTATGTCAGTAAGGACTTAGGGAGATTTATAGATTTATTTTTGGGTTTTAATCTACTACTACTTTATTTCTTTCCTCAAATTTTTCCATCTTTACCATCTGAGAGATCTTTCAGTTAGATCCTGTATCTGCTTGATATATCTTCATCATTGTGTATATGCCTTTTTGTTGTTGTTGTTGTTCTTTTGAGCACTTTTTCCTCTCTAATGCTACAAGGTTTATCTTTAGCATGGCTGTCTAGTCCCAGGATAACTTATTTCTCCAGAGACCCGGTTCCTTTTTTGGATAATGATATTAGAAGTCCAAATCTGGGTGCTAGGTATACTTGTCACTATTGGGTATCAATTATTCTAGGCCTTCTCAATTGACATAGCAAGGATTAAGATGTGTGTAATCAACCTGCATTTATACACATATTTTAAAATATATCTATTTGTAAATAATTTATATCTACATTAAGCTAAATATAAGTTCATACTAATGTCTCCACTCTAATTCATTATTCATAGACCATTTTACTTTCCTCTTGTTCCTCATCTATAACCTTCCACTACAAGAGTGAGAAATCTAATTCTTATCACCAACCATTCACTAACTTACTTGTTAAATTCCACATATGTGTATAATAGTTTCAGAGTTGTTTACACATAACCCTGTGGAAATGGGCTTCACTAACTAAACTGTATGAACAATCCTCTGCACCCTTAGACTTACAAAATGCACTAATTCCCAAAGTTACTTATATCAGCACAATATCCCATGCTACCTTCATGTGACATTGTTTCTGATATTTGTGATACATTTAAGTTATTTTCTCATATCCTTACTCCATCCATTGTATGAATATAACACTATTTACCCATTTACTCAATGAAGGATATCTTGTTGCTTTCAGTTTTGGGTGATTATGAGCAGAGTTTCAACAAACATTTGTGTGCATGCTATTGTATGGACATAAGTTTTCAAACCAGTTGGTAATTACTTAGAGATGTGATTGGTTAAATATGTGGCAAAGCTATGTTTAACATTGAAAGAAACTGTCAAACTGTATTCCATAGTGGTTGTATCATTATGCATTCCCATCAGCAATGAATGAGAGTTCCTACTGGTTCATAGCTTCTACAGAAATGACATTGTCAAGTTTTTTGTTTTTGTTTTGGTTCTTTGCTATTTTAATAAGTATGTAGTGTCTTATCAGTGTTGTTTTAGTTATAATTTCTTAATAACAAATTATATTGAGTATATTTTCACTTGGGAAGCTAAAAACAGAAGTAGCCTATAGTCTAACAAATCATTGAGTTTCATCTCAGATTGAGTTTACAAAGCATTTCATTAGTAGCACTTTAAGCCTGATTGGATCAGAAAATTTTTTGTTTCAAGTTTTTATTTAAATTTGAATTAGTTAACATATAGTGTAGTATTAGTCTCAAGGGTAGAACATAGTGATTCATTACTAATTACAACACCTAATACTCATCACAAGTATCCTCCTAATACCCATCACCCATTTAGACCCTCACAGACCTTCTATCCATCAACTCTGTTCTCTATGGTTAGGGGTCTTTTATGGTTTACCTCCCTCTCTCTACCCTCCTTTCCCTTTTGTCCATAAATTGCAAATATGAATGAAATCATTTGGTATTGGTCTTTCTCTGACCGATTTCACTTAGCATAATATACTCTAGTCAATCCATGTATTTGCAAATGGCAAGATTTCATTCTTTTTGATGGCTGAGTAACATTCCATTATATATATTTTTTTCTTTTTTTTTTTATAAATTCTTTATAGATCTTGGAAACTAGCCCTTTATTTGATACGTCATTTGTAAATATCATCTCCCATTCTGTAGGTTGTCTTTTAGTTTTGTTGACTGTATCCTTTGCTGTGCAAAAGCTTCTTATCTTGATGAAGTCCCAATAGTTCATTTTTGCTTTTGTTTCTTTTGCTTTCGTGGATGTATCTTGCAAGAAGTTACTGTGGCCAAGTTCAAAAAGGGTGTTGCCTGTGTTCTCCTCTAGGATTTTGATGGAATCTTGTCTCACATTTAGATCTTTCATCCATTTTGAGTTTATATTTGTGTATGGTGAAAGAGAGTGGTCTAGTTTCATTCTTCTGCATGTGGATGTCCAATTTTCCCAGCATCATCTATTGAAGAGACTGTCTTTCTTCCTTTCTTCCAGTATATATATATATATATATATATATATATATATATATATATATACCACACCTCCTTTATCCATTCATCAGTTGATGGACATTTAGGTTCTTTCCAGAGTTTGGTTATCATTGATAATGCTGCTATAAACACCAGAGTGCATGTGCCCCTTCAAATCACTATTTTTGTATCCTTTGGGTAAATACCTAAGAGTACAACTGCTTGGGTCATAGGGTGGTTCTATGTTTTGTTTTTTGAGGAAGTTCTATATTGTTTTCCAGAAAGGTTGCACCAGCTTGTATTCCCACCAACAATGTAAGAGGGTTCCCCTTTCTCTGCATCTTCACCAACATCTCTTGTTTCCTGTGTTATCTATAGTAGCCATCCTGACAGGTATGAGATATCTCATTATAGTTCCATTTGTATTTCCCTGATAATGAATGATGTTGAGTATCTTTTCATATGTCTATTAGCTATCTGTATGACTTCTTTGGAAAAATGTCTATTCTTGTCTTCTGCCATGTCATTTCTTGTCATTTCTTAACTGGATTATTTGTTTTGGGAGATCACTATATATATATATATATATATATATATATATATATATATATATATACCATCTAAACTCATGTGGGAGCCATCAAGTGTTTTGTAAAATCCTTCTTAGTATCTAGTTAGAAAGCACAATGTTGCTGAATATTATGAATTTAGGATCACACTCTCATTCTTTCCTATTGTTTGCATTAAGTCAAGAATATCCAGTACTCTAGGGATTATGAAAGTTCTAGGTATTAATTAGAGTAATATATTTTATAAAATGCACAAATACACTCACACAGTGCATTAAATAGTTGCAGGGTTGTTGCTATTTTCATATTTTTCCTGGTAACCCTGGTATCAACACTATGAAATTGGGTAGGAAGTTTATCAAAGATGGTCTCACAGGATAGAAAGACCAAAAATAGAAAAATGTTACTAAAGCAACTGAAATTACAATGTAAGATGAATCTTAATTCTCAAGAACTTTAAATCATATTGTCAAATTACACTTTTTTAGTAATAAAAATGTAACTCTGATCTAATTATAGATTGGTAGTGGACAATTTTGCCAACCCATTTTGAATACATTACATAAAACCATATTATATTAAATGATGCTATTTTAAGTGAGATTGTGCGTTTATTAATTATTATTTGCATGACTCTGGAAAACCAAAAATTAATGACCTTATTAATAATTTGATTATGTATCCTTGCTATAAAGAATTACAAGTTTTCTTTTTAAGAAATGCTTAAAAACCAACAAAATAAAAAGGCAACCTATGTAATTGTAGAAAATATTTGCAAATCATATATATATGATAAGTGGTTAACAACCGAAATATGTAAAGAACTCATACAACTCAATAAAAAAAGCAAAAACCATATATTTAAAAATGGGCAGAGATGTACTCACTTCAGTAGTACCTATACTACAATTGAATAATACAGAGAAGTATAGCACAGCCCTTTTGTGAAGATGATATGCAAATACATGAAATATTCCATATTAAAAAAAGAAAAAAGGGCAGAGGACTTGAATAGACATTTTTCCAAAGAAGACATATAAATGACCAGCAGGTATATCCATGGATACTCAACATCACTAATCATCAGAGAAGTACAAGCCAAAACCACATTGAGATATAAACAACTACCTGTTAGAATGGCTTATAATATAAAAAAGATAAGACATAATGTTGCTAAGGCTGTGGAGAAAGGGGAATCCTTGTACACTGTTGGTGAAAATGTATATTTGTGCAGCTATTATAGAAAATATAGAAGCTCCTCAAAAATTTAAAAAGAGAACTATCATATGATCCAACAATTTCACTTTGAATATTTATATGAGGGACACAAAATCACTATCTTGGAAAGATTTTGTCCCCCCCTGTTTATTGTAGCATTCTTTGTAATAGCCAAGACATGGAGACAACTTAAGTGTCCAATAATGGATGAATGGATAAAGAAAATGTAATACATAATATATATATCAACTAATATAATTTTATATAATATATGTAAGTGTATATATAGTTAATATTGTACATTATATATGTGTATATGTATACAAGTGTATGTATATATAATGTATATAATTTATATATACTGTATATAATTTATATAATGAAATATCATTCTGTCACAAAAAGAAAGGAAATCTTACCATTTGCAGCAACATGGATGTACTTTGAGGGCATTGTGTTATGTGATATGAGCCAGACAGATAAAGACAAATACTGAGTGATCTAACTTATATATGGAACCTAAAAAAAGAATCATAGGTACAAAGTACAGATTGGTGGTTGCCAGAGGAAGCAGGTAGGAGTTAAGTGAAGTGGGTGGAGGGAATTAAGAATCACAAACTTCCAGTTATAAAATAAACAAGGGAGGTAATGTACTACATGGTGACTATAGCTGCTAAAAGAGTAGTTCTTAAAAGTCATCATTAAAAAAAAAAAAACAAAAAGTAAAACCATATATAGTGATGGATGTTAACTGAACATTGTGGTGATTATTTTACAACATATACATATATCAAGCTTTACATCTATAATTAATACAATGTTATATGTCAATTGTATCTTTTAAAAAGAAAGAAAAGAAAAGCCTTGGAGAAGAACTGAGATGAGAGATGTTAGAAAATCAGTGGCAAGAGATATAGAAGGAGGGCATCCAGAGTAGATGTACCAGCCAAGACAAGTGGGATTCAGGGAGAGAGAAGAGGTCACATTGGGAGAGTAGACTGTAGAGTTGTCAGTAAGGCTGAAGAAAAAATATAGGAATAGACATGAGGAACTCACATTCTTACCTAAAAGCTAGACTTTTTCAAAAGGCAAGATAGAAATCTGAACAGGGATCCCTGGGTGGCGCAGCGGTTTGGCGCCTGCCTTTGGCCCAGGGCACGATCTGGAGACTCCGGATCAAATCCCACGTCAGGCTCCCGGTGCATGGAGCCTGCTTCTCCCTCTGCCTATGTCTCTGCCTCTCTCTCTGTGTGTGTGTGTGACTATCATAAAATAAATAAAAATTAAAAAAATATATTAAAAAAAATCTGAACAGAGGCAATAGAAATAACCATGTAATCCTTTCCCCACTTATAGCATGCAATTTTTGAGAGAGAAAAATTGATTTCACATATGTGATACAATGGGCCAGGAGTATACAAGTTTTAGCTATGATTACTTAAAGAAAATAAAAAGAAAAGAAAGCAATGTTTGCTACTATCTTTGTAGTCATGTCTTAATATAAATATGTGGACAAGGGTTGTAATATAATACACAAGGGTGAAAAATATATATCTTATGTTATGATTTATTTCCCTATAATTTTACCTAACGATATCATATCTAAAAGATGGTCAATTTTTAAGAATAAGAATAAGTTAATAAAAGGGGTGGTGGAAAGGGAGGTGGGTAGGGGGGTGGGGGTGACTGGGTGATGGGCACTAAGGGGGACACTTGATGGGATGAGCACTGGGTGTTATGCTATATGTTGGCAAATTGAACTCCAATAAAAAATAAAATAAATAAAAAAGGAATAAGTTAATAAGAATAAGTTAAGAATAAGAAAAAATCAACACTAAAAGAGACTTTACAATAACTTGAAATGTTTTTACACCTGCCAATATCATACCATTTCTTCACAAAATTCCTTTTATTTATGTGCCAGGCAATAACCTCAGGAACAATTAGGGAATAAGTTTCTTTGAGTTGTATAATTAAATGCCAAGAAAACTCACCATTCAATATGTAATTCACTCAAAATCTTGTTGTTTGAAGGAGTCAGTGTTCATACATAGGATGGATTGAATTCCTAACAATATTTGGCATGAGCAGTGGACTTGGCTGTCAGTATAATAGCATTACATTCATGGTCTGAATGACAGCTAAATGGATGGATGGAGCTTGTCTCTAACATGGCAGATTCATGACTATAGCATAATGAATGAGAGAGTTATAACCTCTGGTCACATATACCCTGGCCTGCTGCTCCTTACAAGCTATATCAAGGGATATAGAGTAAATTCCTGTTGTCAGATCTAATAGTGAAAGATTCGGTTTCTAACTTACTGGGAGAACAAAGTGGAATTTCCATTCCGATAATTTGGATCAAAACACTTCTTGATCACCGTGGTCAATTTGTTGTGTCACTTAATTAAGCCCAAAACATTGCAAATTGTGTAAGTGAGCAAAAGTAAGACTGCTTCTTCAACCTTGAGAACCAATCCTTAAGACAAATACCTTATTAAATTAGTTAAGTTTTAGAAAATGCATTATAGGAAGTTTCCTCTAGGACTTTTTAATGGGTTAAACATGGATTAAAGTAAATGGCAAGAAAAGTCACAATTAAAAGTTAAAAGAGAACTTGAAATGCAAGAGCAAATTCATACAAAGTGATAAAAAGCAGAATTTCCACCACAGATTCTTTATATCTCTTTTTCTTTCTCTCTCTCTGTCACTCAGACACACAGACACACACACACACACACACACAAACACACACACATCCAATATTTAGGAAAGGGATTAACAAAATAACTGTAGTATTTTAATTTTTCCCTAAACATGAAAAATTGGCTATATAAGTTTTCTGGTTTCTATAAGTTTGAAGGTCTTTGGGTATTAAGAGGAAATACTATTGACTGATTTTTCTTTGTTTGTTTGTTTGTTTTGTTTTAGTTTGAAAATGTGGATCTTTCCCTAGTACATCCCTTCCCTTTACTCCAATAAATATAAACTTTAGCAAAGCCTAGAATGAATGAAAAGAAGACAGTGATGTGGCCTTTGTTGATAGCTATTCACCACACTTATGTGTATCCAATATCTGTTTATAATAATGAAAGGCCCTTCTTACTCACACACTGTCATGATTTAGGCTACCGTATGTATGCAAACTTCATAGGGAAAATTATAACTGAGCTCATATTTGCAAATATTTGTAGTTCTGCTGTTAATCTGCACTAAGTAAATAGTTAATTAGTTCTACACGGCCTTGAACTTTTCATTCTCTTGGTTTGAAAACGTGATTATCTGCCTGAAGAGAGTAGATGTTGCCTAATAAAATGTGTTTATTAAGGAAATGTATATAAACTCTATGGGGAGGTAGATAGCACATTTTCAAGGAGACTAACAGAATAGGACACATGGCTCTACAGCAGAGCACAGTGTGCATTCTGTATATTTTAAAGCACATTTTAGGCATTTTTTAGGTTAATATACAAGAGTTGCACTGTTTAGAATAATTCAGGAAACATTATACAGTTGAAAAATGAACACGAGAGTCTTAGCATCCTGCAAGTTACTGTGGAAAAATACTACAGCAAAACACAAAAGAAGAAAGGTGGTGGTGGGGGGGGGAGGGGGGACCTGTACTGATCCTGTTCCAATAAATTAAAATTACTCAATATGTAGATTCAGTAAGGTGTGTATGAAAAATAATGGCTACATAGGTGTAGAAACAGCAAAATTATACCTATATTTTTTATTTCAATTAGTAAACTCAGAACATTTAAAAAATTTTTAAAGGCATTTAATAGCTGATAACATATGGAGATTTTGCCACTAATTACATAAAAGGAATTGCACATACTGTTTATTAATATCTTCAGCAAAGATTTAGTCATCAGGATCAATTTTTAAGTATAATCTTAGTGATTGAAACACCATCAGCACTTCAAATGTATTCCAAGGTTTTAAGGGCTGTGTATTCAGTTGCAAATACCATGACATCCATCTAAGTGTTCTGCATGAAAGGGAAAATACTGTTTCACATATATGCAAAATTGTAAGATGCAGGGATAAAGGTGATAGAAATAAAAAACCTTTACAATTTGTTTCTTTCAAATATAACTATAGGTACATAAGTCATGTCTATGGGCCAAGAACAATGGCTTTGAGATCCATGAAAACCTTTATGAGTAGGTAAATAAAAGTCCTATGGATTCACTCCAACCCAAATGTGGGATTTCAGTAACAAAACAGATGAATAAAGAAAAAAGAGACAAAAAACAAAACAGACTCTTAAATACAGAGAAGGAATTGGGTTGCTAGAGGGAAAGTGAGTGAGACAAGGGTAAAATAGATAAAAGTTAATAAGCTTACACTTATCTTGATAAGCACCAAGTAATGTAGAAGATTGTCAAATCACTACATTGTATACTTGAAACTAATATAACACTTTATGTTAATTCTACTTCACTTTAAAAGAGGGGAAAAAAAGACCAAATGTGAAAAGTGGAAGAGAGAGGTTGTGATGAAAAATTAGAATATAAAGCGCTTTCATTGCAATGGTCAATGTATGAAAATGAAATGGGTGTTCTGAACAGAAAGAAAGGAAGAATGAGTTTGAGAAAGAATAATAAAACAAACAGAGTAGCAATATACAAGAGAAAACTTACCTGGAGTTTATGGTTTTAGTGGTAGTCAAGGATAAAAGCAATGAGAAAAGTGGTTTTAACTCTAACTGGAAAATTATGGCATGAAGATATTTTCTATGTACAAATATAGATCTAC